ATTACTTAACGAGTCATATAAATACATACTCTTGTAATTATTTATCTTCTTAATTTTTTTTTAAATGAACTACATGTTCGGTTTTTATGAGATAAAAAATGCACTTTTAAATTCAATGTATCAAACATAATAGTGTAGTTTATGATTAAAAATTTTAAAATAATTTATATTTTTCCTTTATTTTAACGAGCTTCATATTTTATACTTTCTCTTTGCATATAATTTTTATTTGATGTAATTTATTATTTTTTAAAGAATTTCTTATATATATATATATATATATATATATATATATAACGTAAGTGGAATCATTAATTTGAACTTTTTAATTGAAAATAGAAGATTTGATCTCAGCATTATTTTTAAAGGTTTTTATTTGATTAAAATTTAAAAGTTTAGGATTGAAATAAAAATTTCCACTAGTTGGTTAGTAATTGAAACTTTGGAAGAAGGAGGGGAGACATCAATAAAATCAAAACTTCAACAAAAGAAATTGGATTCTTGTCGAACCTAATATAAGATGATAAATAAAAAAATAACCCTATAAGATTCGACATAATGACACATCCATACTTAGGGGAGGTAGTTGTATGTATAAAGTCGAGTAATAAGTTTCCGTTTTCAACCTTTCAAACTTGGTATGCAAAGCAGAATTCCAATGGAAATAAACACATACATGTCTCATTCATCTTCAATCATTCACTAGACATTTTGACGAAGAACCAAATTTCTACGACAATATTTCAGCAATTCTGACTACTCCCATAATTAAAATTAGGTTCAAAGAAACTTGTAATTAACATGCAGAATTAATATATAACTAGCAACGGTCAGACTGTCCTATGCTCCAATGAAGTAAGTCACACACTTAAGCTACTAAGGGGCCCACAAGATGACGATATTAAGCGACCAAATCAGGAACAGCCACTCTCAGGCAACAAGTGTTGCCGTTAATTGACTGAAGGGTTGAATGAATATGAACAGGCTTTCGCTGTAACGAAATATTAATTAATCGGTGATGATTTATAGAAGGGATAAGAAGAAATATCAAACCACGTCATGCAATCCTCAGAAGGTTCTTATCTATGTTTAATAGTGGGATTCGTTTGATTCATTGTAACCAGCGCGGCCATATAGGACAAACAAGCCCATCATATTTATATATCTCTTTAACTTCTTGCTTTAGGCATATTGGCTGTCTGGCTCCACCAAAAATCTTGTCTCATCAGTCAGTCACAACAGTAAAGTTTACTTTCGTGTTTCATGATGTTTTGTAGTAACAGATAACAGATATCTCCCGTTGAATCGTTAAAAAAAAAAAAAGTGACTGATATATAAATTAATGTAGACAAATAATTTTGTCTTTAGTCTTTATAATTGTAAGCATTATTATTATTATTATTATTTTAGCTGTTAATTACTTCTTGTTTGACCCTAGGGGTTCATAAGTCACGAAGTTATAATACCACTAATGGGACAACTCGTCGAAGCATGCATATGTTGTTCCGTGTTAGTTACAAGGATTATGCAATCATTCTCATACATTAGTTATCCTATCATCGATCAATTAAAATATCGAATCAACTTTTAATAATAAAAGAAAAGATAAAATTAGTTCAACATGACTCTAAGCGGTGAATCGGTTGAGAGTGCTTTTTTTTTTTAACTTATTAAGTTCAGATCTTAATCTTTAATTTGAATGCATCAAACTTTTATAAGAAATATCTTTTTAAAATCAAAGATTTGAATTTTGATATTTAGAAAAATTTATTAAATTTTGTTAAATGCATTAGGCTCTTATAAATAATATTTTTTAAAAAATCAAGGGTCTAGAAATATTTTTTTTATCATCACCTCAATTTTTGTTAAAAAGAAAAAAATGAAGCGAGCCTAGACTAGCAAGGTGCACGCGCCTGGCCTAGGCGCACCAGGCTTCGGGTTTGGTTGCCGGCTTCCAACAGAATCTAAAAAAAAAAAAAAATTCAAAAAAAAAACTCTAAACAAATCTAGATAAACACCTGTAAACACATTCTATCCTAAGCCTCATTCACATACACGTTGACCCCTAGACCAAAAACCCTAACAGCTAAGAAGCAAAGGAAAATAGAGAAATGAGAAGATGATGTTGCCACCCATCATCCGTCCAACCTTTCTGCAAAACACGCCGAACCATTAAAATCTTGTAGAGGGAAAGATCACAACGTCAGTAGAACGAACCAATTCTGACCACCACAGCACACTCACGCACCACTTCTTTATCAGCTGTCTTTGCTGTGCTTTTCTTTAGTTTGCTCCCCGAACTTCTAAGTTAGCTATTTAAATTCCTTAGCTTTTGATTCTTGATCTGATTTTTGTTTGAATTTTATATGTTGTATAATTATCTTGTTGATTAGTGTTCTTATAATATCAATTATGTAATTAATATAAGATTTGGATGATTTATTAAATTCAAATTACTTAATTTTAGGCTTAGAAATGGTTCAATTTGGAGTCCTTAATTTCATTAAAAAGTTTAAAAGGCTTTGAATTTGATTTTTTTTTTTTTTTTTTGATATTTGTGTGTTTAAAATCTGATTTTGCTGGTGTAGAAAGTATGTGATATTTTTAGGACTTATCTTAATGTCATTTTATTTATTTTATTTTTTAAAAATCAAGGTTAAGGTTGATTGACAAATTATATATTATCTAATCATATTTTACATAAAAGAAAGTCTTTGAGAAACTTTTGGTTGATGATGAAGCTAGCAATTTGTTAGCATTTTTTTCTTATGATAAGAAAAATAAAATAGCTTCGTATAAATTAATAGATTAAGGACCTTATGGAGGCTAATTGATTATTTTATTTTCTACATAATGATCTTTGCATGATCTATAGTCTTTGTATGACAATTTTATTATGTTTTGCATTTGTCGTATTTATCCGATATGATGTTAGTTTAGGCTAGTCAATCTTGCAATCTTATAGGTAAATGAATCATATTAAATTGCAAATATAAACTAGAACTATTCCGAATGATATATTTTTTTTTGGGTTTTAAGTTGTAAAGACATTGAATTGAAATAAATCAAACGGACTACAATAGACTTGAAAACCTCACGTGGAGAGACCGCAACCTCCCAAATTGATTGAGTTGTAGATTGCAAGTCAAATAACTTACAATAAATGATGAATTAAGGTATATGTCAAACTTCCTAATCTGATATGCACTCAAAATAATAAGATTAAACCACAAAAAACAACAATTTAACACATTAATCAATAGATTAAAAATTAATCAAATATAATCTATTTAATTAATTAAACCTGATCAAATCAACCAATTAATCAAAATTAATCAAATTAATTCAATAAACCTAAATAAATCAATTAATTAATCAAATTTAACCTAATTAATTAATTAAACCTAAATCAAATTAACTTAAATATCAATTCTAATTCAAACCTAATAAAATTTAATTCTAAATCAAATTAATCCTAATTCAAACCAATTACATTTCCAATATAAATTAAATTAAAAAATCAACCAATTAATCAAAATTAATCCAATTAAATAATTAAACCAAAATAACTAAAAATTAATTAACAAATTAACCTAACAATTAATAAAAAAATTTAACAAATGAATCAACAAATTAATAATTAATCAAATTTAACTAAATTAATTAATTAAATCTAAATCAAATCAACCAATTAATCAAATTTAACCAAATTAATTAAGCCTAAATCAAACTAATAATTAGTTAACAAATTAGCCTAACAATTAATAAAAAAAATAACAATTTAACAAATTAATTAATAAATTAAAAATTAATCAAAATTAACCTAATTAATTTGCTAAACCTAAATCAAATCAACAAAGTAATTAAATTTAACCTAATTACTTAATTAAACCTAAATAAAATCAACCAATTAATCAAAATTAACCTAATTAGTTAATTAATTAAACCTAAATCAAATTAACCAATTAATCAAATTAATTAATTTAACGTAAATCAAATCAATCAATTAAGAAAAATTAACCTAATTAATTAATCAAATCTAAATCAAACTTACAATTAATTAAAAAATTAACCTAACAATTAACAAAAAACAACAATTTAACAAATTAATAAAAAAATCAACCTAATTAATTGATTTAACCTAAATCAAATTAACCAATTACAAAAAATTAACCTAATTAATTAATTAAACCTAAATTAAACTAACAATTAATTAACAAATTTAACCTAACAATTAACGAAAAAAACAAATTAATCAAAATTTATATAATTAATTAATTTAACCTAAATCAAATCAACCAATTAAGAAAATTTAATCTAATTAATTAATTAACCCTAAATCGAAATAACAATTTAACCAAACCATCAACTTGATATGGGTGGGGCAGTGATTTACTATTGACACTACTTGTTGAGAAATAGAAAACAATCAATAACGAAACCAAGGACATTTCTGGCATTAAATATAGCCTGACACTGCTCGAGATGTTAAAAGTTTGGCAGGACAAAGAAGGCACTAGGCTAACTTATGCTAGTCTTAATGACAGAAAGGGTAGTATTCCAGCAAGACCAGCTGGGTTTACTGAGTCCTTCTCATCTGGTGATGGTCGATAATAATGGCGGAGGGGTTTGGTAATTTGACAATTATTTTTTATTGTTTTGTTATTAAAATAAAATTTTTCCCTTAATTGAGATTGATTTATTTTAGAACCTATCATGCCAAATGTCAATTATTGATTGATGGACTCTGATGATATTGTATCATTTCAGTTTAAAAATAAATGATACTATAATGAAAGATCGCAAGTAAATTTTTGAAAAATAAACAATTTCAATTAAGAAAAACAAAAATAGAGAATTTTAATTAAAAAATCCAAGAAAATAAGATCTATAGATAGAAAAAACCCAAAAATAAATATTATTGGTATATTATTTCTAACAAGGGAACATGTTCAGAAAGGACTGAGAAAATTTTAATGGTCTTCCCTGCAATGGTTAATTTATGCCACATTAATTTTAAGATTCATTCCAGCATGACAATCTCCAGGCCCAGTAGAAATGAAGTAATGTTCTCCTGTCTTCTCGAGCGGAACATAGGTGTCCAAATTTTTGGAGTAAAAAATTGGATTGTCCGCCCTGCATTCGAACCATCCATCTTGATACACCTCGGCTACATCATGGCCCTTCTCATAGCGAAAAACTACAAAAATAAAAAGAAAATGGAAAACACTAGATGATGTAAAATCGACCTTCTCAACAGATTAGTTTAACTTGATAATAATATAACTACAACAAAACATTATTATTTATTAGAAAACATACTTATAACATCTCCAATAGAAAAGGTTCTCCCATTAACCCAAGCTGTATAATCCTTGTTCGGGACCCAACCTTCGGAGTCACCCACAAAATATTGTGTAGCCCAACTTAAATGTGCGTAACATAATGCCATGAGCACTGTAGCAAGCATCATCTTGACAGAGGACCTGGCCATCATTTTAGAATAAGAGATCTATGCTTACGAAAACAATATGGCTGTAGAGTATGGTGGAAGAACTTATATATAGAGTTAGATGGTTAAGCAAACCATAAAAAAGGTAATTAATGATTTAATCCAATAAGTCTTATATAAGGAAACAATATCCGAAAAAATCTTGGTGTGAACAACTATATATGGAAACAAACAATAAGAAGATTGCAAAATAATAATAATAAGAAAATTTTTTATGGATGAAGTACACATCGTGCCCTTGTACAATCTAAAATTATTCATATTAACTCATTTGTTCAGATATGATACAAAACAAAATATGTACTATTCTAAATTTGGACAAACCGATCATTCCATTCAACGTCTCACTACCAGAATTTTTCTAAATAGTGATGGATTTTTTTTTTACTATTTGTCAAAAATCCGTGGCTATATGCAATTGATGACGTATTAGAGACTAAATATTCCGTTGCTATTTTCTTAACGATCAATTTTTTTTTCCATTGCTAATTAGCGAAGGATATTCCATTGCTAAATTAATCTAAAATAGTTATCTCTAATGTTTTATATTTATTGTCATACCATCATTATTTTCACTAACATCTCGTCACTAATTAGTGATAGAAAATTTATTGCTAAATTATAGTCGCTAATATCATCACAATTATGTCGTTAAATCCATCTCTATTTAGCGATCTACATGTCTCCATTGCTAGTTACCCTCGTTATTCTATTACAAAATTCGTCGCTGGTTTTATTTTTATTTTTTAAGAAAAATCAATAGCCGTGTCTTAAGGCAATGTCGAGGCGAGGGTGACGAGTTTTAAAAAATAGGAAAATGGGTACTGGAGTCGTCAACTAATATTATAGTTACTATGAAACCCTATAAATGGTCTATTAGAGTTCTAAGTAAGGGGTTTATTATGTATAGGATATATTAAAAATCACCCTACCCCATCATGTCTAAGGTAAGTCGCATTGCATACAAAGTTGACTTGATTTATGATTTTTTAATGATGAAAGTCTATATCCATTTTCTAAATATTTGCTCACTAGGCGATTGATTTGGGATTTGGTCGGTTAGACACTCTATAATGAATAGCTAAGAAAATGAAAAGACATGATCGACAAATAGGTAAATAGGCAAAATAAGTCAAATAGGCAAAATCGACAAATAGGTGAAATAAGCAAATAGATAAAATAGACAAATAGGCAAAATAGGTAAATAAGTGGATATGCAAAATAGTTTAAATAGCTGAAACGGCGAGAAAGTGGCAAAATTGACAAAAAATAGCAAAAATGGCAAAATTAGCAAAAAATCATTGAAGTTGGCAAAAGCAATGGCAAAATTTGCAAAATTGGCAAAAACAATGATAAAGACAAAAAAAGCAATAATAACAACAAAATTAGCAAAACAATAACAAAGACGATAAAGGCAATAAAAAGGGAAAAACTAGCAAAATCGATAAATTTGATAAAAAAGGTAAACATAGAAAAATTGACAAAAATCATTGAAATTGATGAAAACAATTTGAAAAAAGAACTCGGATCAACATGATTCAAGAATCATATTTTTTAGGCGATTTGACAACAATATCAAAATTAATCATTATTTGACAAAAATGAAAAAATCATTGAAGTTGGCAAAACCGATGGGAAAATTTACGAAATTGGCAAAAATAATGACAAAGATGACAAAATCATTAATAACAACAAAATTAGCAAAACAATGACAAATATGACAAAGGCAATAAAAAAGGAAAAAATGGCAAAATCAATAAATTTGGAAAAAATGACAAAATCGGCAAAAATCATTGATATTGATGAAAATGATTCGAAAAAAGAATTCGAATCAACATGATTCAAGAATCACATTTTTAGACTATTTGACAAAAGTATCAAAATTAATCATTATTGGAAAAAAAAATGGCCTAAACAATAAAGTTTTGGAGTAGCACGACTTGAAATTGCATTTTTAAATAAAATTAGCACACAAGCAATTTAATGTTACCATTAGCAAAAATAATCTAAAAACGAGGTTTGGACCAACATAATTTGATTATAGGCAACGACCAAAAAAAAAAATCATAGGATATTGTTCCTCATTCTACTTCGATATTTCCCAAGGTCTCAACCTTTTCTCGCGAACGCGATACACTATGCTAGGCTAGTGTTGGGCATTAGCCAACGACTTGCAAGGGCCAACAGTTGGCATAGGCTAGTGCCTAGTAAGGGCAGCCCAAGCAGCTTGCAAGGGCCAACAGTTGGCATAGGCCAATGCCTAGAAAGTGGCGACTCTAGCCTATGGGCCTTCAAGGTCCAAAATTCAAAAAAATTAAAATTTATAAAAATTTTAATGTTTTTATAAAATAACGAAAATCACATAGTTATAATTATATTAAAAATGAGATATGTTTCATTAGTTTATTATGCCATGTATCAATATGATTATAGCATGGGTGAATGGTATAAATGAGTCAACCTAGTTTTTGAGAATATATGTTTGTAATTTTTTAGTTAAATAGGATTTGCGTGTTCTGCTTTTTATTTTATTCCAATATATTTTTCTTCTTATCTTACTCTCATCGAATATGACTTGGGGTTTCTTATTCAAAAATTATAAAAGAAGAAGATAGGTTAGTAGAAGATACAAAGAGAAGGAGCTAAGAAAAAAGACAACTCAAAAGAAAATATAATAATTTTTCACCTAGGTACCTACTAGTATCCTTGAGGCTCAAGTAGGCTAGTATTAGAAATCTATTATCATTCATTAGTCCTTGAGTAATATATGAGATTGATGCGATTGAACTCTAACATCCATGATTCCGATGCAATTGAAATATAGCATATATGATAGTATAAGATTAATGCGATTGAACTCTAGTATGCATGTTAGGATTAAAATGATGAGACCACACCATATGAAATCTTTCAAACAAATATCAATTAATGGCCTTCCAATGTTACGAGAAGAGAATTATCTTAGTCTTTTTTGACTTGTTGAGATAACTCAAGATCATTTCTTTCTATAGTTAATCAAATCATGGGTCATACGAAGTTCCCGAACATTTGGATCCAACTTGAAATGAATTATTGAGTTTGTTGAAATAATTCAAGATCCAACAAATTTGTTGGTAAAGTTTTGTATTCACATAAGATGTGAGATGATAATGAGTTTTTATACCAATGAGATTGAGAATTGTATTTGATCCAATTGGTAAGGAGTTACCTTCCTAATCCTTTTGTGAATGAGATCCTAATCCATTAAGGAAAATAAATCAAAAATTTTCTCGAGTCTTATATTGAAGCTTATAGAACTTGAAGAAAATAATGAGAGCGAACATACATTTTACTTCTTAATTTATGCTTTTTTTTATAAAATGCAAATTAATTAATCAAATTATACGTTTTTTTAACTTCGTCAAGGTTGTTGCATAGTATGACTCGACAATACATTAATACGATCAATAATTAACAAAAGTAATGCTTTAAATGACACAAACTTTCTTAACTAGAAAATGAATATAAGGAATATTCTCCAACATCGGAAAATGCTCTATACAATAAAGAAAAAAGAGCACCTAAAAGAGGTGCAAAAGAAGAGTTCTAATAGCACCTCGAGTATTTATGTTATTGAAGTTAATTTTTCTACTTCTAATCCCACATCATGGGTATTTGAAACCGGATGTAGTGCTCACATTTATATAAATGTGTAAGGTTAAAAGAGTCAAGGAAGATTGCTTTAGGCAAGGTTGACCTACATATTGGAAATGGTTTAAGAGTTGCCATATGGGCTTGTGTTTACACTCAAAAACTATTATTACATTCCTAGTATAACTAGAAATATTATTTTCATTCCTTATTTGGACCTAGATGATTTTTCATTTTTATTTAAGAAAAAAATTTGTTCTTTTTATAAAGATGATATTTTATATGAAAATAATGAAATTAATAATTATTTCTACGTTTTGAACATATGCACATCTATTTATAACATAAATATAAAAAGACTCAAAATAGATGATCTAAACAAAACGTATCTTTGGCATTATCCACTTGGCCATATAAACGAAAATCAAATATCCAAACTATATAAAAATAGATATCTAGAATCATTTGATTATGAATCTTATAATATTTACGAATCTTGTCTACTTGGCAAAATGATAAAATCCTTTTTTATTGGAAAAAAGAGATGGCTATTGATTTGTTAGGCCTTATACATAGTAATGTATATGGGTCCATGTCCACCTAAGCAAGAGGAAGGCATGATTACTTTATAATTTTTATTGATGATAGATCATGCTTTAGTTATTTATGTCTAATGAGACATAAATTTGAAGTATTTGAAAAGTTTGAAGAAATTAGATTAGAAGTTAAGAAATAAACTGAAAAAAAGTATAAAAGCACTCGATCCGATCAAGGTGACGGATACTTAAGTAGTGAATTTTTAGATCACTTGAAAGAGAATGGGATTCTCTCTCGGTAGATCCCATCTAGAACACCATAAATGAATGGTGTTTCCAAAAGGAGGAATAGGATGCCGTTAGACATAGTTCAATCTTTGATGAGTCATAATTATATCCCTATTTTATTTTAGAGATATGCACTCCGTACTACAACCTTTATTTTGAACGAGTTTTAAAAAGTATGTTAATCGGACTCTATATGAGATATGGAAAGGAAAAAATAAAAATTTCTTTTCTTAAGATTTGGAGTTATGAAGCATATGTCAAACGTTTAGATGGAGACAAACTAGAGCCCAAATCAATGAAGTACAAATTTATGGAATATCTAAAAAAAACAAATGGATATTAATTTTACCAATGACAAGAACAAAAGATGTTCATTGCTAAGCATGTTATATTCCTTGAGAAGGAATTTATAGATGCTAAAACTAATGAAAGGAAAGTTGAACTCGATGTGATTCGAGGAGACTCATAAATTAACACTTTAGTCATGGAACCCCAAGTAGATAGATTACAAAATGTTGTAACTACTCCATG